CAAATAATTGACTGATGCTAAAGTAAAAGAATCCCATAGAGGTAAAAAAAAAAAAGAGATTGATTATTACTTTTGTCAAATTGGAGAGAGACTTTGCTTTTTCATTCATGTTATTTTTTTCTTTTGTCCTTAGCCTGTTAACCTCCTTTTATTTGTGTTTAACATTTTCCAGTGAATCATAAGATTCCAACATTCCTTATATATAAAAAGTATTTAAGTGAATAAGAAGCAATGTAGTTTTAGATAAAATATTACAGCTGGGAGTAGTAACTTGAAAGATCATACTTGTATTCAGTTGACATTTGATCAAGCAACAAGATAAGCAGTTTTATTAATATTGATGTTATATATATATTTGATAAATGAATTGAACTTTGGCAAAAAGCTATATTTCTAGATTGATCATTAAAAGTAAAGCTCACTAACAATGACTTGCAAGATCAGTAGTTATGTGTTTTTGCTTCTTCCTGTCCTTATTACTGAGGGTTGGGGACTATAGACAATTGTCACACTTTTGAATTCAGAGTTGTCTTTCTTTTAGACTGGTTACTAACCATGATTAGAGAGCCTAGTATGTATAAGAGAGTTTATTAGTCTATACAAAAGACTTTTTCTCTTTATAAAATATAGCATTTTATTTAATGTACTTATATTATTGAAATAAGACTACATATGTGTACATGAAAATTCTATCCATGTGATTAGATCAATGCCTAATAGTTATTAATTGAATTTTGACCTGGAATTTTCATTGTATGAAGTTCAATCTATGCAATATATATAACCATTGAACTAAGTGTTTTGACAAAGGAGTTCTGGATCAAACCATGATTTTTAATATTTTGGGTTAGTATAATGCACCCACTTTTCATTTTCAGTGACAATTTCAATAAAAAAGTTTTTTTTCATCTCTGGCAAGAAGTGAATTGCATGTGGGGAGATCTTGTCCATAATTCTCTCAATTTATCACAATTTGCAAATGTCTTACAACTGCTGGGTAGTGTCATCATCCAAAAAGAGCTTGAATTTTATATTATACTGTATCTTGAATTGTACTTCAAGTCAAATTCATCTTTCTTGAACTTCATAAAATATTCATGACAAATACTGCTTCCAACTGAACTATCTCCATAAGCTTCATTGATCATCTTCACTTTAATTGCTGTCTTTCTGAACATGAAAAGAACAACATGCAAACTGGTAACTTGCCCATGACTGTAAATTTTTCCCCCTCAAAACTGGATAAATGAACTGAATATAGAGCACTGAAAACTTGTTTTCAATTGAGTATTCAGTTTCTAGATTTCTAAAAAAAAGTGGGCACTGGGAACTTGTGCATAATATATATATATATATATATATAAGACAAAATAGAAACTTATCTTAGTCAATATGTTTCATCTTCTGATGGACTTTATCAAAGCAAATGAAACAATTTTATTTTGCAACAAGTATTTATGAGCAAGGATTAAAAATTTTAAATTTAAGAATGCTCATAAATATACATAAAGCTAACTGTAAAACATGGTAAATAATGGAGGATGTTAACCCTTCATGCATTCCACCAATCTGCCACTGGGTGGCATGCCACTAGTGTTGCCACTGGTGGCCCATTGTCAGGCCACCGGCGTTTTTTTCTTGGTCATGTTACCACTGGCAGACCACTAGAGGTACACTGGTGGCTGCCAGCAGAGGACTACTGGTGTTGCCTGTCAGTGGGCCACTAGCAGCTTGCATATAGGGAAGCTAAGTAATTTAATGACTAATAAACAGAGTGAGTGCTTTTATCTTTTTATTAAATAATGTAATTAATATTTATATTATTCTAATTTGGGATTAATTAATGTATTATATATTTTAAATAATAGGTTATGAATTTAACCATTTTGATTATATATATATATATATATATATATATGTATATATATATTCACAGTAGTATTGTTTGCAATATAAAATATTTCACACCTGTCAAAAAAAGTGATCTTTGGTAACACTGAATCCAGAGCCTTATTGTTCTGGTTCTCTAAGTTACCAAATCTTTTACTTTAATTCAGAATTGAAAGAATTTGTTTTATAAATGAAAATCATTCTTGGAAAAGCACCTGATCACTGAATGTTGTTTTGTTCCTTATTCACTATGTGTACATAATTAAAAAGAAAATCTTTTTAATTGGAGTGGGTGTTTGAATTCAGAATTTATTTTCCCTCTAGACTGGCTGCCAACCAAGCCAGACAAACCTTATCTGCTCTGTTATTTAACTATAAAAAGATGGATTCATACCTTATACAAGTGTATGAGTATAAATTAAACATTTTGTTTACTTTACTCTAATCATAGTCAGAATTTGAACTTGGCACACTGATTCCATTTTCCATACTGATAATTGCTGTTATCTGCATATCCCACTCCAAAAATAACATTATCAAATTTAGTCTTTCTCTTTACAACTCTTTCAATTTCCATAAAATTGTGCCAAAAATACTATTCCAATAAAAGAAGGTTAAAAAATATCATTCTTGTAAATATTTGCTTTATCTCAGAGTTTAGAGAAATATTAAAAAAAACGTTTTGTTTTTTCTCCAAAATAAAAGTGATTAATCATTATTTTCTACTTTACATTTCCTGATGTAAGAAGCAGTGTCCAAATTCCAAATGACTTTTAATATTTCTACTTCACAGAAAATATCTTCAAGAAGTGTAATGAATCTATTATGGTGTATTAAATATGTGAACACTAGCATTATGGTATACTGAGTCATAATACCATGGCTGCTCCACAATTTAGAGAAATATATAATAGAAAATAAATGCGGAAGTATCTTATCAAAAACATTAACAGATATTAGCAATTAATAAAAACATGATCAAACGATTCATTGTGGAAAATAATTTGCTGAGTTGAATATCTGCTATTTACTTGTAATCTTGCAAACTTTTCAAAGATTTCTTTGCAAATTATCTTTAATTATAGGAATTGGACTTAACAACTCATTCTAATCAGCTGCTGTTTTTCATTTATCTACTTTTCAAGCTCTAGTTTTCATCCTCAGAATTTTTTTTTAAATTTATGATAAAAAATAAATCACTACATTAGGTAACTGGCTGTGTTTCTAAATATGAAAAGGCCTCAAGAAAACTTATAAAGACTTATATTGCAAAGTTGTATTCATTTATTTTTAATTTTTGGATTTATATATGCTTTCTTGAAAAATCAGGGTGTCATTAAAAGCCTTTTTAGTTTTTATGTAATAAATTATCATTATTATTTAGCTACATTTGGTAGTTTTGTTTTGATTAATAAATTATATCTGGAAAGATAATAATGCTTTTTGGCTTTGATTCATGTTGTTCAGGATTAAAAACTTAAAAAAATGTGAAAATTAGAAAAGTAGCATTTATTTCAATGAATTCACAAGTAAAATAAAACCTGTAATTTATATATACCATTTCTTCAGACAGTGTGCTTATATTAAAATTGTATCATTGATGCAAAAATATTGTTTTTCTAACCTCATGGACAATCATAAAATTGATTTCAGATGACCATTGAATAGAATAAAGTAAAAACTAAATATTTTTAAATAACTTCATTTATTTTCTAATGTTTAGTTAGGAAATAGCTTCTGAAACTTTGAAACCTAAAAATCACACAAACTTTCAGCACTTGAAATTGCAATATAAAAAATTTAAATAAAAATAATTGATATCATATCAATCACAGATTAAACTACATTTGAAAGCCTACTACTATTTTTTGAAGAGATTTTCTTCATTTTAGCCACTCATATTATCCTAGATTATTTTAAAAGTAGTTAAAAAGTTGCAAGTATTTCCAAACTGCCAACACTGACCTAGTATATCATTTTCAGCTGGTACAATTTCTATGCATTTCGAAAGACAAACAGTTTTTGTACTTTAAATTCCTTAAATGTTTTTATGAAATCATCATTTCTAAAAGTTAATTTTTAAATTATTTTTTGTTTATTTGTTGTAGTTTGGTTTCTCAAAATAAATTTTAACAGATAACTGTTTTTATTTTTTCATTGCTATATTCATTTTAGGATATTTAATTTTGTGAACATACTGTTTATAATACATTGAAATATTTCAACTTGCCAATACTAAATGTTCTCCTTTCTTTATAATTTGGTTTCTCAAATGTCAATGTTTTTAGGTAAACTTTGTAAATTTTACAGTGACAATTTATTAATATGAATTGAAATTCTGATTGTGTTTTATAAACTGAATCTGTCATAGCTGAGCTGTATTGAACAATTTTATTTTTTTCATATTAAATAATAAATAAATAATAAATTGTTGGACAAGGTATTATTTACTCTTTCTGAAATTTCTTGCTTAGAGACATGACTTAAGTTAACTATTACACATAGTTTGGCTGTAATTTTCATATATATATATATATATATATATATATATATATATATATATATATATATATATATATAACAGTTCAAAAAAGACATTACCACACAAAAAAGAGAATGCTTAACATCAAAAAACTAGGAAAATTAATTCATTTTAATAATATGTGGAAATAACCACTCTTTGCCTGAAGAAGGTCACAAGACCCGAAACATTTTGTTACAAAATTATGGAAAATAAAGCATCATATATATTTTTAAAAAGATCCACATTACAACCAAAAATGTTTTCGGTTTCTCTCTTTTTTTTAAAATATACACTTTTCTCTCATTGGAACAATTATAACCTCTTTCCTATGAGATAAATAAACAGATACATGCCATGTACAAGGGTAGGTTCGTAATCTAAAAATAAAATAAAATTCTTGATCATCAAAAATTTTAGATTAATTGGGTAAGTTTTTTTAAACTTTCTAACTACTTGCATAATTTTTCTATATGAGAAAATACAGCTGCAAAATATAATGCCATAAATGATGTTGCAATGAAATCATTTATTTCGTATTTTATGCATACAGCAATGAAACAATAGTATTATACATTTAATAGGCTGATGGCCATTTTATGTTGAAATACTGGTTCTTGTATGATCACCAAAGTTAGGCATCATCAAGCCTGGTTAGTACTTAGTTGGGTGACCACTTGGGAATACCAGGAACTGTAAACTAGGATGTACTGATGGAAAACAGTCTGGAAATGTAGATCAGAGAGTTGAGTTCAGTACTAGTCATGTTCATTATATTCACTTATATGCAAATACTCTGGAAAGTTATGAATCTACTTCTTCCCCCCTTAGCTATGGGTTAATTAGTAGGAATTGTATCAGTAAATCATTATTCTTTCTAAAAAATTCTTACAATCTAAAAATGTTTTCTGGTTTAAATAACCCGTAAAAAGTTGATAGGCCAAAAAAACCAAATCAGTCAATCAATCCTGTCAACTTGATCTTTTAAAAATTTAATCATCTTCTGTCTCCTTAATAATGTTTTCTTTTTCTCAAATTTGTTCATACTCAGAAACTCCTTGTGGCTTTATTGCCTTGCTTGGGTTGAAAGGATAAATAAAACTTGCTTTGAAAAAATATGCTTTTCCTCCATGGATTTTGCTAGCCAATAAAGGACAAAGAACAGATATAGAAAACCTTCCTTAACCTTAATTCATGAAGCCAAGCCATGATTGTGTTTTTCATCAGGTATTCAAAATTTAAAGCCTAAATTTCTCATGATAGTTTATGCACAAACATCTTGATCTTGCACATGTTTTCTCTCAGATATCATCATTTGGACAGGCAAAGAGTTAAAAAATAACATTGTATGCCTGTATATGTGATAATTTTATTTTGTTATACTCTGAAAATATTATGTATAAAGTTATTCCCCTATTCTATAACTGTTAAAAAATAAATGAAAAACAATTTTAAGTTATTAATATTATTTCAAAGCAGATTATCTTTTTTTTTATACATGGAAAGGTTGTATTCTTTGTTTATTGCAATGAGTTTCTGTTAAAAAATCTTTGTTCAATTCTTCAGTATCTTCTTTGGCATTTGTTTCTAAAGAAACCAATTTGTATTATAAAAAATATTTCCATATTCTTAGACAGATAAATATTTCTCCATTACATTCATATTATTTTTTTTTCAGTCGTTTCTTTCTATTATATACAATATTGCGAATACATATTATTTAAATTATTTGAGAGCATTACAATCTTTTTGAGATTTTAAAAAAACAAATATACAAGTATTTAGCCAAAGTAGTTTTTGTTCTTAGTTGTATATTTTGCAACAAAGTGGTCATGTTGCAAAAGTCCCTTTCTTACTAGTGCACATAAATGATAAATAGATTTTATTAATTTTATTCAGTTATTTTTAAAATAAGTTCAACAGGTTTCCATTTTAGCCATTTAACATAGAGGAGAATGAACAAACTATCAAAGGCAAATCTTGAATATAATATATAATTAAAGAAATGTACTAAGTGAATTTTGATAATGATAATGGTTAATGATTAACTATTTTCAAATAAGAAACACATGGTATTCATTGACTGAACAGCTAGGATTACTGTCAGTTGAAATTTATAAAATATTTTTCTTAAAACAGTTTTTCAGAAAATTAAACTTCTCAAGTCCACTGTTATCATTTTTTCTACTATTGATGGGAGTTTCCTTTCAAAACTTTTGTTTAAAGTAGTTTATAAAGTCAACACCTTGATTATATCATTATTTTTCCTTCTAGTTACATTTGCTACTCATTTTTGTTGTTGTTAGTATTGGAAATGTTGAAATGATGTAGTTTTTGTTATTTCGTAAAACTCTGTCAATGATTTTGTAACTCTAGTCTATAGTGCCTTTTGAAGATTTGATGTATCTTGAAAAACCAAAGGTTTTGAACCATTTTTATCATGAATATTAGATAAGCAAGCTTTGTGATTCTTATATTTTCTAATGTCAGCTTAATGTTTTATAAAGCCAAATGAGAGGAAAAAATTGTGTTGCACCAATCTTAGCAATTTGGGTGTGCTAGCCAACCCTTGGAAATCAGCATTTGGAATTCTGGTCTCTGACATTAGCAAGAAAAATGCAACTACATCAGCCATTATACACCATGCAAAATTTTGTGATTATCATTTTAAATAATTATCAGTATAAAAAGTAAACATAAGATGCAAATAAGTGTATATACTGCATTTTAAAAATAAAAGTTTTTTTTTTAAATTTAATTAATGACAGCTTAATTTACACTGGCACTTAAACACAAACACACACATGTATGTGTTTATATACATATATAAAGTGGCTAATATATATAGATTTATATAAACATCAGGATTTACTTTGGAATCCCTTCTTGGTCAAGCTGAGAACTTTTCAACACCGCTTCATATACAGTCCTCTCCAAAAGTATTGGAACAGCATGGCCAATTCCTTTGTTTTTGTCATTCACTGAAGACATTTGGGTTTAAGATCAAACGATGAATATGAGATAAGAGTACAGAATTCCACCTAAAAATGGGATGATCTGATACAAAAGGTGGTATGTCCTAAGCTGTTTAACATATCTAATTGTGAATACAAAGAAATAAAAGCTAAAATTTTGAACTCTTGTTTCATATTCATCTTTTGATCTTAAACTCAAATGTTTCCAGTGAACAACAAAAACAAAGGAATTGGCTTTGCCGTTCCACTACTTTTAGTGGGGACTGTATATACACACATGTGCCATATTTTGTGGCAAGCATTTAGGACACAGCCTTATTTTAGCATGAAATATGTTAAAAAATATACTATATCATACAATACATTCTAAGATTGCTTAAATCATTAAACTAGTATGATTTGGAAGTTTCAATCAATATTCAATTTTAGTGGACAGGTTGATTTTGAGGGTTAAATTTTGGTAAAACCATGTGTGTCTTTTCTGCAACAAAATACTCTGCTTGTGTGTGTATATATATATATATATATATATATATATATATATATATATATGTCTTTGAACATGCATACATCTCCATTTTTCTTCAATTTTTCTTTCAATTATATCATTTTGTTTTTTAATGATATGGATACACTAGATTTTCTTCATTATATTTATATTATTATTTACTTTATTCTTGTAGTAGAATTTGTTTTAATATTAAAATACACTTATTTATTCATTTCTTGTATGAGAGAATCTGGCCCTTCAGTGTGCAATGAGTTATTGTCCGGAAATTAATCCTCTCTGGTTTTGCTTATAACCCTTTAAATCTTCATATAGTTCCCTCAAATTTAGCAGACTTGCAGGAAAGAAAGTAATTAGGTATGTGCAAATATGATTAAATAACTGTGTTTCCTATAATTAATATTTGTTCATTGTTGAAATTCAAATTTGTACAGTAAACAAAAGAACATATTACAATTACAAAAAATTAAATGAAGGATTATTGCATAATCTTCATGCATTGGTTTCTATTGCTTGCTTATGCAAAATTAAATTGAAAAGTTAACTTTTTCATTATAGCTAGCACTTATCTCATGTAGTGTATAATCTAACACTGCTAAATCAGTAAGTAATTCTAATATTTGTAATTTAAATTATCTTACTGATTTTATATTGGAATAATTTAGCTAACTGATTGTCTTTTGTCTGCTTTTATTCCTGTTCCAAATTCTAAATGATGTATAAATACATATTGATTATAAGTATATGAGAAAATCTAATTCTGAATTACATTTTAAATGTAGGTATTAATTTTATTGGAGTTCTCTTTCCTTTGTAATTAGCATTCAAATGTTTTCTCCACTGTCTTTCTTGAAATAAGGCTATAACACTTTTTGTTTCTTCTGTGTTAAGTGCCATCAAGGATATTTAATTCTAGTATTCTCTTCTTTTTTTTCCTTTTTGAATACATAAAAATATTTTCAGTTAAAATCTTTATATGTATGTATTTTCTTATTTTAACTGCTTATACTTATTCATCTCATACAAACAAGTAATAATAATGTGATTTGTTTGTAATCATTATAACATGGCCAATTGTGGTTATTATTAGATGATAAAATGAAAATAAACTGAAAGAAAAAAAATCACTCAGTAACACCCACCAATATTTATGTACAGTAGGATATTTTTGAATTTGTTAACTGTGTTGTTGTTTCAAATTTATATGCAAATATAAAAATGAAGAGCCATTTAGAAATAATGAATAGGCTCATTGATGTGTACCTGGGAGAATTATAAAAAAAAACAAAATTAATAGATATCTTAATACACATAAATTAAAACTGCATTTCTTAGGAAATCCATTCTTTTCTATTTTTATCTTTTTTTTTTCTATCTTTTACAAATTGTGGGCTATTGTTGTTTGTAAGAAGCATTATATAATTGATAAATGCAAGTACATTTCTAATCACCCATACTTGTACTGTGCCTTGAGAGTGAAGCATTGGTTTTGTCATTTTAATTTACCAGTCTCATCTGTAGTCTTTAAATTGAAAAAAGAAAAACCTAAATAGAGTGTAATGTTTAAAGAAATTCTGGCATTTAAAAGATCTTATTGATTTTAGCTCAATTCAGTATTTAATATTTTGTACACTTCTTTATTCTCTTGGCAAAAAGAAAGAAAATTGGATTTTTTCTGATATCTGTCTTTTTATAGATACTTTTTCTTCTATCATCATCATTCTACTGATGCTGCTAATAACAATAATAATTATTATGATAGCATCAATAATAATATTAGTTTTATTTAAACATTTGCTATTTACATTTAAATTTTATTTTTAGAATATGAAGTTAGTATTTTCCTTTTTTCTTTTATTTGCTTCTAATTTATGGATCTGACCTACTTAAGAACTAATAAAAGTAATAAATCTTTTAGTTGTCACTAAGCATGATGATGGAATCATATTTATTGAGCTTATTTCAATACAATACAAAGTTTTGTGATGGCAATATGGAGTTGAAAGATTGTGTTGCATCAATTCTTCAAATAAAGCTACCCAGTTTGCAGCAAATAATCAGCACTTGATAGTTTGTCTTTTGTTTGGGTTTGGACACTAACCACTTGTGCCTGTAGGTGGATATGCAACTATCTCATCCACCTACATAATTCCTATATATTTATTAAGCTTAACTTATATTATCACACAGATATGTTTGAAAGTAATTCACTAGAG